TGCTCTCCAGAGAGAGAGAGAGAGAGAGAGAGAGAAACCCCCTGACCCCCCCCCCCCCCCGTAAAGAGGCATAAAACCTCAACCCTTTTTTCTCCATTTATCCATTGCAACAAGATTTTGGGCTCACATGCACATATGCCTGGTATGTTTTGAAGCCACTGGGACTGGGATTCAAATCACAGTTTGCCATGTAGGTTCCAGCATACTCTGCCTGATGCTTAACTACTGCATTGCAGAGCCAATGCTGGAGACATTTTTTTATACACCCCTACAATTCACAACTCTCGACCTTTACCCTGAGAATATCACATCAGATGTGTAGAGAAGTAACAAAGGTAATTCTCACAATTTAAATACCTACACTCGTGGTATTGCACTAAAGCCACATCCGTCTGGTGTTGTCACTTCTCAACGTGAACTATTTCTTCAAAATCTAATGCAAAATGAAATTATTAAAAAGTTGCCCTATGTATAGGGGTTGCAATCCCCTGGGAACAAAGGATATCCCCTCTTTATTTGACTTTAAAATAGTCACCTCTTGTATCTTTGAGGTCGAGGTGCAAGAATGTCGCAATTGATCCATTAAACATTAAAAATCAAATGGAGTTTGTCTTTGACATTTATTGGGACTATTCTGAATCTCTTGAAATGATCAAAAAGACAATGTAATATACACTTCCAAAAAAGCCAACAGAGCAAATTTTGAATGTGCACCACATAATGTAATGTTAGATTTTGAAGATGGTGAATATCTTCACAGCCTTGATTTGATTACTACACACTGTATACATGATTTTAAAAACTATAACACTACCTCACAAAGATGTGCAATGATTATATGTAAATTGGAAATTATAATGTAAAAAAAGAGAGAGAGCAGTATAAAAAAAATATCCTGGCTTTAGTATTACAGATGTAGGAAGAGCAGCTTTTAAAAAATGTTTATTTCTTTCTTCCTCACACACAAGAGACAAGAGAGAGACAGAGAGAGGGAGACTACAGAGAGAGGGATGTTCCCTCAATAGGGTTTTGATGCTGTGCTCCACCCCCAGCTTCAATCATCCTCAGGTCATGGGCACACCTGAGATGTTCAGAGAAGTCTCTGGACTAAAACCTGGGACCTTTCCATGTCAGTCAGTCTTGCAGAGTGTCACACTACCACTGCACCACCAACTAGCTCCCAAGAGAGCAGATTTTTGAAAAATCAGATTACTCAATAGGAGAATTTGATGGGACAAGCTGGTGGCGTGGTGGTTTTAGAGCTGGACTCCCACATGGCTGACCATGGTTCATGTCCCAGATCTGGCAGCTTGATTTTTTGCTTTCTTTTTCTCTCTCTTGCCAAATTAATAATAATAATAATAATAATAATTGATGTTAAAAAACAATTCTAAAAAATATGTAATTACCAAAAAAAAAAAAGACGATTTGATAAAGGCTTGAGGGACCAAAGTACATGTGCATTGGCTCATAAATATAGGGGAAAATGTATGAGAATAGAAATTAGCCCCTAAATGACGTTAACCCTGGATAATACATCAGTATTTTGGGCGATTAACTTAGCAAAAAGTCATTAGAGACCTGACTCGAGGGGGTAGGGCAGCATTTGATAGGGTCAGATTTCCTCTCACAGGTTGAGTGGCTTGTGCCACTGAGGGAATATCAGCACAGAACATGGAAGGGAAACTGGGGTTCAGTAGGCCCCAAGAGCTTTGGAAATGACACCTGCACCTTTGTGGGGATAGTGAGGGGAAGTGAGGAATCTGGTTGTAGCTAGTGCAAACACCAAACACCAGGGACCTTCAAATTGAGCCACAGTGGAAAGAGTCCAGGTGACTCCCAGATCTGGAGTCACATTGGGTTTAATCATCAATTAGCTTTGTTGGCTTTTTAATAATTTTCTTATTTTTTCCTTTTGTGCTTTCCATGACTGGATCAATAAAATTCCTTTTTAATTTGCCGTATCCCACAAGGCCAACTGTGTACTTTGAATCCCTGACCTGGAGGTTGAAAAACATGGCAGGCGCGTGTGCATGCATACTCAAAAATCTTGAAAGGAGGGAGAAATGGAGAGACTGGCATGACCATGTCCCATGGAAGGGGTGGGGGGAGTATTTTTTCATTTCTATTTTTCTCTCTCTCTGTGTCTCCCCTGGCAAATCAAAAAAATAATAATAGTAATTTAACATTTTGTTAAGAGGCAGAAAGGAAAATAACTGGGTTTTATACTTTTGAGAGGAGCATGAAACAGTAGTAAAGAGATTTTTTTTTTTTTGCCACTTCTATGAACATTGAATAAGTTGCTTCTGTCTCTGCTATTTAGTTTTCCCACCTACAAAAACCTGTAAGATTTCATTTTGTCTTGTCTTGTTTTCAAGTTTTTGCCCTAGGGTATGTGTACTCTCTGAAGAGAGGCAGAGAGAGATAGAAGAAAAGTAAGAAATACACCCCAGGGGTGTGTGTGGCCACCTTGCAATCCCTTCTTTGTTCGCCTCTTGGGATTTTTGGGCATGCACACACATACACTGGGTATGATTTTTCAAGCCACTGGGTCTAAGACTCAAACCACAGTCAACTATGTGGGAACCCAGTGCCTTAACCGCCATGCCTGCTGCCCTTTGCCCCTTAAGGTTCTGATCCCGCACATGCTGATACAGGTTCTGCTACTTACTGACCGTGTCCTTGGGTAAGTCACTTAACACGGCTGTGCCTCAGGTTCCTCAGCTGCGAGATAGGGATATAAAAGGTTTTTCTTCTAAGGATTTTTTTGGTATGTATGTATGGTATTTTTAATACATTTATTATGTTTGTTTATTTCTTTCGTGAAAGAGGGAGATAAAGAAAGCAAGAGAGAGAAAGACAAAGAGAAAGACAAGGCAGAGAGAGGCACCCCCAGCAGGGCCCACATGCTGATGTCCACTTCCATCTCAGCTGGCCTGGATCAAAGGCATGTGTGTGTGTTCCTAGGATGCTTAGGGAGGCCCCGGGACACGAACCTAGGATCTTTCTCCCATCGGTCCTGTTGTGTTACCACTGCACCACTGCCTGGCCAAGGGTTGTGTGAAGAGTTAAATGAGATCGTAACCGTTGCTTTTAACCTGTTAGCCCCAGTCAAATTCTCTCACTGCTCTGTGCTATCCCAGTGTCAGGCTCTCATATTTTATTTAAAAGGTAGACATGACTCATTTCATACACCTGTTCACTGGCAACGCTCAGTTGGCCACTTCAAGAAGCTTCTTCAACAGTCATTTTTAAACATAGTCTCTGGTTTCCACCTGGAGCCTCATAACCAGTGATGACAGTTTGCAAGTCAAGCTCCCTGGGATAAACTAAGACTGTGGCAAAACAAAAACTTCCTGGGGAAGTAAAGCCCTATGTCAGGTCCTCCTAGTTTGTAATGAGCATCACGAGTTAGCCTGGACACATTTGAATTATAGAGCTCTCTGACATCCGTTTCCTTCACATTTAAGGAAGCCCAGTCATGCGTCTTTTGAGAAATGTACTGTAAGGTAATCTCATCAATGTGCAAACATCATAGATCTAGATGGTTTCACCCACCAGGCACCTAGCTAGACCTAGGCTATATGGTCTAGCTTATTTTGATCTTACAGAACCACCAAAAGGTCATCATGTGGCATATGAGTATATATTAGAAGCATGTGACTGAGAAACTTATTTGAGGATGACCTTTTTTTTTCTTTCTCTTTTGTAAAGAATTATTTATGTAATATTTATCATTATTATTATTATTTATAATTTGATCAGAAAGAAAAAGACAGAGGGAGAGAGATAGAGGAGAGAGAGAGAGAGAGACAAGGAATATGAGAAAGCAAGCTGCCAGGTCCAGGACTTGAACCATGGTTCACTATGTGGGAGTCCAGTGTCTTAACCATCACACCACCTGCCAGTCCCCCTTTTTTCTTTTGTCTAAATTTATTTATTTATTTATTTATTTATTTATTTATTTATTTATTTTCTATGACCAAGAAAGACAGTGAGAGAAAGAGACATCTCTAAAAGGATCTTGACACTGGATCCACCCCTAGTCAGCCCTGGATTGTGGGTGTACACATTCTCAGGAAGGTCACGGGACGTGAACCTAGAACTTCCCATGTTGGTCAGCCCCAGAGAGCATCATGTTTTACCACTGTATCATTATCTAGTCGTCCCCCCCCGGGGATGACCTTTAATTTACCATAAAATAGAAATATAAATCATCCTCAAACTTCTAAGCTCTCACTATGATTAGGGATGTATAGCTCATCTCCAAACATCCTGATCCTTGCTTGAGAATCACTGTCCCCAGATCAAGGTCTTTTTCATCAGCTTCAAACATGGCTCTCTCAAGAACAATCTGGCAATCCTAAGGGTGACTTGGATAGCAAACCTTCCCCTCAAAAGAATCTGTCAAGGATGGAGTTGGACTTTCTGGTCTACCTCCATGGCTTGTTTTCCTTTTTCTTTCTCTTTTTCTTTCTCCTTTTCTTCCTTCCTTCCTTTGGGAGTCCAGCAACATAGCCATTAGGCTAACTGCTGGTCCCTCTTTCTTTCTTTCTTTCTTTCTTTCTTTCTTTCTTTCTTTCTTTCTTTCTTTCTTTCTTGCTTTCTTTCTTTCTTTCTTCTTTCTTTCTTTCTTTCTTTCTTTCTTTCTCTCTCTCTCCTCTCTCTTTCTTTCTTTTTCCTTTCTTTCTTTCTTTCCTTCCTTCTCTCTCTCTCTCTCTTTCTTTCTTTCCTTCTTCTTTCTTTCTTTTCTTTTTCTTTTTCTTTCTTTTTTCTTTTTCCAATCACAGTTTTCTGAAAATGGGGTGGGATCACCTGTAGTCAATCCTCTCAGCAGAATTTTGATCTCAGTGCTTTCACATGAGGTTCCAAATGTTTCTCAGTAAGCTGGTTGTGTTGAACTGATCAGATTTCTCAGGATCTGCCCAGGATCCAAAGGGAATGATCTGTGGCAAGCATAGGGACTCAGCTTATTTTATGGTTCTCCTCTGTGTCTGCAGGGTCAGCAGTCTCTGAAGCCATGATGGATCTGGTTGGTGCTGTTGGTGGATCAGTGACTTTCCCTCTGAAGAACACAGGAAAGCAAGTTGACAGCATTGTCTGGGTCTTCAACATAACCACTCTTGTCACTCGACAGCCATTCAGGAAAGGCAAACCAGCCACTGTCATAGTGACTCAAAATCGTAATACGGAAAGGATAAACTTTACAGATAAAGACTTCCTGCAGCTCAGCAAACTACAGAAGAATGACTCAGGTGTCTATCGTGTGCAAGTGTACAGCTCATCCTCCGAGCTTCCCTTCACCCAGGAGTATATGCTACGTGTGTATGGTGAGCAGAACCAGCTCCAATAGTGGGTGTCTGCCTCGGTGAGGTAATGAGTCCCCCTGACATAGAAGATGTTCAAGCAGAGGTTGGATAACACTTGACAAGAAAGTAGACAAGAGGATACCTGTATGGGTGCAGTGGCTGTAACTGACTCTGGTTCCTGCCTAGAGAGATTCTATAAGAGGTGACAAATGAACAGTGGCAGTGGCAATCACATAGACCCAAGTCAACTGCTGGCTTTTCTACTTTATCAACAGTTACCTGGCCTTAGCCAACTTACTCAATTTTTTTGAGTCTCTTTCCACATCTGTAAAAAGGAGAAACGTGATACCTATTTTAGGAAGATTATTGGGTATAAAAATCAATTTTTTCCCTACAAATTCCAATCATTTGATAGATGCAAGAATCAGAAGGGAGAGAAAAATATAAGTTTCATTTCTGGGAAAGCTAGATAGAAAAAACTATCCCTTGGAGCTCATCTGGGGAAGCTGAACTTCCAAAACAATTTCTCAAGCAGCTACAAGGAGAATACCGACCTCACTCACTGAGCCACACTATCACAGGCACCAGACTCGCTGTTTTATTTTAGAATGTGGGCCGTGCACCTGATCCAGGTGTGTCTTCCATGTGGATATGATAGAAGGGAAGAGAAGACATTCATTCTTCATGAAAAACCTCTGATAAGGGGGGGGGGGAGGACAAATCACACTTAAATAGCAATCCTTTTCTTTCATTTTTAATTTTAGATTTTTGCTGTAGGGCATATGTGCTCAGTAGAGAGACAGAAAAATACAGAGAGAGGGAAAGTGAGAAATCACCCCCTGGGGAGAAGGACACACCCAGTCCCTTGTACCTTCTTTTATCAGAATTTTGGGTACCCAGGTACACACACCTGGTGCGTGTTACAAGTCACTGGGCCTGAGACTCAAACTGTAGAGTCAGTCTGGGACCAGCAAGCGGTGCTGTGGTCAAGGTGCTAGACACGCCCACACGGCTGACCGTGGTTTAGGTCAGACCTGGTGACTTTCTCTCTCTCTCTCTCTCTCACTCTTGGTCAAATTGATGAATAATAATAAATAAATAGAATTATATAAAACAAATTCTTTCTAAAAAATCCCCCCCCCAAAAAAAACCAAACCGTGAAATCAGTCACATGGGATCCAGTGCCTTAGCCACCATGCCATCTTCTGGTCCCAGAACAGCAATCTTTTTTTTTTTTTTTTTTTTGAGAGATTTTCATTGTAGGGCGCGTGCGCTCGCCAGACAGACAGAGAGAGACATAGAGACAGAAAGCGAGAAATCACCCCCCAGGGGGGATGGTCACGCCGCCATCCCTTCTCCTCCATTCTCCTCTCGGGATCTTGGGCACGCACGCACACGCGCCCGGCGTGAGTTTTAAGCCACTGGGTCCGGGACACGAACCGTGGTCGACTACGTGGGAGTCCAGCGACATAGCCATTACGGTAACTGCTGGTTCCCTCGAACAGCAATCTTTAAGACTCAATCCCATAAGTAGAGAACAGTAGATGATGAATGTCAGACTCTCACCATCTCACCAGTGAACTAACGGCTCAATCTTTGTGGGAGGGGAACAAGCACAAGGGAGAGACGAGTACTGGAAGCATGGTTCTAATATATTCATTCCTGGAGAGTAAGTGTCATTCTCTCTTCAAGGAAGTGCAAGGACAAGGGAATAGGGATCCTCCAAAATGAAAAAAAGAAAAAAAGATATAATTAGTTGAAATCTAAAATGCAGTCAGCATAATACTTGCCATATCGCTATGTTTACTGAATGGCAGTTACAGTTAGATCCATTGTTATTTCTGTTATTGTTATTGTTGTCATAAAGCTGTTGGTGAACAGACCTAGATAGTCTCTTTTGCAAATAAGAATGAGAATTCTGGGGCCAGCACAAGGCATGGTGGCTGAGGCAGCTTGATCCCATATGGCCAGCTATGCAGTACAAGTCCCGGACCCAGTGGCTTGAGAAACTCCAGGCATCTGTGTGTGCATGGCCATTATCCCAAAAGGAGACAGAAGAGAAAGGATTGTGCCATGACCATGTCCATGAAAGTACCTTCTCACTTTTTCTCCCTCTTTTTCTCTCTCTCATGAGCATACACACCCTCTGACACATGTTTAAAAAGAGAGTAAAGAATGATAATCTTGCTCTGAAATGCTGTTTCTTCTCCCTTTAGAGTTCCCCAGAAAGAGTCAGGTCCAAGGTATCCAAGTATAATTTAGAGAAAAGAGAGTCACAGACCTTGTTTCCATCCGTGTTGTCTTTTCTCTTTCACAGAGCATCTGTCAAAGCCCAGAGTCACCGTGGGTCTGCAGAACCGTGAAAATGGCACTTGCATGACCAATCTGACATGCTCCATGGAACACGGAGGAGAGGATGTGACCTACAGCTGGGAGGGCCTGGGACAGGCAGTCAATGAGTCCCATGATGGTCCCATCCTCTTCATCTCTAGGAGACTGGGGAGGACGGACATGGCCTTCACCTGCAAGGCCAGGAACCCCATCAGTAGCAACTTCTCAAGCCCCATTCTTGCCTGGAAGCTCTGTGAAGGTAATCAAGAGACTCTGGTCCCAGGACCTATACTTTCTTCAGCTCCTGGTCTCAATGGGAACAGCTCCTGTGTACAAACTGGAGGCCACTGGGAACTCACCGGGCTGGGAGGAAGGTGGCAGGTGCTCCACAAGGTGGGAGGTTCCCCTAGCTGACCTTCCTCCTTTCCAACACCTCCACCTATTCTCTCTTTCAAGATGATGGCTCTGTTTCCTCCATGGTCTTCCTGCAACTCCTGTGCCTGCCCATCCTGGTCATCTTCTTCATATCAATACTAATTCATTTGAGAATGCGGAGAGAGAGAAAAGAAGGTAGTGCTTTTACTGGTTTTGCTCTCTCCCTTAGGTATGCATTTTACTCTTTATTTACTCAACAAGCATATACTGAGTTGTGTGTCAGACTTGGAGCCAGAGCCATGTGAGGATGCAGAGACAAGGAAGCTATTATCTCTGCCAGGAAGAAGCACAAAGCCAGTCTACACACCTTAATTCTGCAGTTAGTCTGCACACACTCTCTCCACTTAATTCTGTAGTGGAGAGAGTGTCCTCTCTTCTGAGGATAAGGTCCTTCCAGTTCCCTTAAAGGGCCAACTCCTGTCCTTCTCTCAGAAGGACTTACAAATGTGCCCCCTTCTGTTGGCATGGGACTCACACTGCTGACTCGGCTCCCCTGACCTGGAAGGCAATGGTCTCCCACTCTGAGGTCCCCACAGACCAGTACTCTCCAGGCAGCCATCCCTGTTCCCATTTCTGCCAGATTCCAAAGCAGACTCAGTCCTCTCCATTTGATCAAGTCCAGAGACCTCTTTCCTCTGCAGCTCAGTGTAGATACATTGCTCCTAGAGGAGCCTCCCTCTGCCACCCATGCTCACTGCGTGGGCTGTGTCCCCAAGCCCCTGCTGATCTGTCTTATCTGGCTCCCATTGGCACCGCCCATGTGGGATTTTGGGGAGGGACCTAAGCACCAGTGTTGGGTATGAACTTCAGACTTCAAGACCTCTTTTCGCTCTTAGAAACCCTTGTAAAGGGTTTCTAGTTTCTGCCTCCCACTTCAGTCACTTTGGTCCAGAGATTGGGAAGTGAAGTGACGAGGGTGACCAATCCTTCCTGATTTGTCAAAGACTTCTGGTTTTAGTACTGAAAGTCCTCCGTCCCAGGAAACTCTTCAGTTGTAGGTGGTTGGTCACCCCTAAGTGGTTCATACAAGTGTGTGTGTGGGGGGAATGGGGTGGCACATGGCAGAAGGGATCAGTTTTGAGTTTCTCTCAACTTGGTTTCAGAGTCCACTGAAGGGAAGGAACAAATGGACATTCATCAGGAAGTTCCTCATTTCTGCCCCAGTTCTGGAGAGACCACAGAGTATAACACAATCTCTTACAGTAATGTGAGTGCATTCTCATCTTCCAGGGGGCCTGATGCTCTGAGGTTCTCTTTGTTTTACATGAGATGTTCCATGGGTTTGGGCAACATGGAAATGGGGTGGGGTTGGGGGTTACATTGCCATGAAGTCCCAGCATACTTGTGTGTCCTTAAGGCTTTGTGAATAATCTCTTCTGTGCCTAAGTTGAAGGTTCTGTAGTGCCTGGTTGTGCTCCAACCAGTAACACATGTCAGGGTTAATGGAGTCACCCCTTAAAGGCCTGATTTCTTTTGCATAAAGCAGTGGGTAGAAAAGTGTGACTTTGACACGCTGTTCGAGTCACTGTGTCAGAAGACAGGCTGTTCTAAAGATTGCCTTTTTCTTCTGGGGTAACCTGGGAGTCATTTGGAGATAGATGAGAGGGCCCACAGAAGCTCTGAGCCACACTCTAGGACTTGTAACTGTGGTCATCAAGTGGAAGTGAATGAACACAAAAGTAATTCAAAGGAAAATAAAATAATAAAAATAAGGGGCCAGATGGTGGCCTGGAAGTAAAAAGCAACACTGTGTGAGGCTGACCCATGCCGGAAGGTTCTGGGTTTGTGACCAGTGATCTCTCTGAAGATGCCAAGCACTTGTGTCCATGATCCAGAACTGAATGACTTGGGTGTCTAGAGTGTCAGGACTGCTGGGAATTCTGTCTTGCTCATGGAAAAAAATAAAAAGAAAAAGAAAAAGAAAGAAAATTATACGGATACAGTTTAAAGAAACCTGAATAACAGGAGATTATTAATGAATATTTTTTTAATTAATTAATTTGGAGTCAGAAAATAAGCAGACAACTTTAAAAGTTCCATAGTACCAACCATGGTATCCCTGACTGGACTAGTTCTCCAGAGATCATGGAGTACTGTACATACAGGCCCATTTCATGAAGATCAAAATATGTTGGAGCTTTAAAACCCCATGTTTACTGTAGCCTGTGATATCTCTGGATACAGATACTTTTTCCTACACCTACCTACAACATTTGAGAAAATACATTTCCTCTTCAAAGTCATTTTTTCTGAGAGTCCCTCCTCACTGGGATAACCACCTTTTGTGTTCCACTAAGCAGGTATCACTTTGTTGCCATTCTCTCTCTTCTCCTTCTTAAAACACAGCCCCAGGAGGCTGCAGGACCATTCTGGATATTCAGAAATAAATTTAACCAAGGCAGGGGAGTTTTCTCCAGTCCAGAAGCAGCTATTATTGTTATTTTGTTTTCTTTTGATTGGTTTCATCAGACCTTTTAACTGTTGGGAAAGTTTATTTGCAATACTAGCACTATTATTTTAAAAAAATTATCTTTTATTTATTAATTTATTTATTTTTGCCAGAGATATAGTGCACTTACTAGAGAGAAACAGAGACAGAGAGAAACAAAGCAAGAAAGCACCCCACCCCTACACACACACACTCATGGGGCATGATCACATCTCAATCCCTTCTCTTCCATTTTTCCCTCCTTTTAGGATTCTGGACACACACACGCACATGTACCTGATGTGTTTCTGAAGCTGCCAGGTCTACATGGTCAGTCATGTGGGATCAAACCACCTTAACCAACACACTATAGGTTCTCCCTTTCTCAAGAAATAAATAAACTTGAGCACTAGTATTTGAAATTATTCTTTAGCCATTTTAAGGGGCTCATAGTGTGTGAACCTTGTATACTTTACCTATTTTTAACATTTCTTTAAATACAAAACAGTTTAAAATAATGCAGTGTCCTCCATTACTGTGCTAGCAGTCACCAACAAGAGGACTGCTACATATTTTTATGAAAAATTCTTCTCCATGTCTATCCTTTCTTCCCTCCCTCCATGGCCTCCTCTCTCTGGATGCCAGAAGTCACTTTGGCCTCGTTCATGTGACATAAGGAGTGGGTGATGATTTCTTTGTTCATTGTTTGTCTTTTAATAGAATATGGTTCCAGAGGAAGATTCAGTAAATGGGCTATATTCTACTGTGCAGATACCAAAAACGGTAAGAAGCTCTTCAGCCGTTTCATCTTATTTGTCCCATCCTATTTCATGGTTCATGTTGGGGTTAAAATTTCTTGGGTCACATGGATCTCATACTCTCTAGTATTAAAAGATATCACAGGGGCCAGTGGGTGGCATGCTGAACTTCCACTTGGCAGGCTCCAAGGTTTGAATCCTGAACCTGGTGGCTTGAAAATCATGTCAGGTGCATGTGCATGCATGTCCAAAATCCTGAGAGAAGAGAAGGGATTGCAGTATGGCGATACCCTGGGTGGGCAGGGAGGGGGGGTTCTGTCACTCCAGTGAGTGCATGTGCCCTATAGCAAAACAAAACAAAACAAAACAAAACTCTAATAAAAAAAAAAGAAAAAAAATGAAAGGAAAAGAGAAATAAGGAGTGTCTGGGACTGCAGGGTCTCATGGAAGACATAGAGCCCAGCCCACTTATAGCCCTCTGCATCCTTGTGTCCCTACAGATGGAGAGTCCCTGCTCCCTGCCCACAATACCAGGCATACCGAGGCCAACCACCTATGAGAACATCATCTAAGAGCAGTGAACTCTCTCAAATATTTCCCCAAAGGAAATCACAGTAAGATTTCACTGGACTGTGGACTAGCAGATGGTGTCATGGTAACATCACTAGACTTCCACATGACTGACTGTGGTTAGAGTCCTGGACCCAGTGGTTTAAAACTCATGCCAGGCACATGTGCATGTGTGCCCCAAATCCCAGGAGAACAATGGAGGAGAAGAAATTGCAGCGTAGTCATCCCTCCCGAGGGTGATATTTCATTTTCTGTCTCTGTTTTGCCAGTGAGTGCATTAAAAAAAAAACAAACAAAAAACGAATAAAGGATTCACTGGTTTGACCAGAGACACCAAAGAAGAATGAGAAACATTTACTTCCTTCCAGAATATGCTACCCATCATGCTCCATGAGACTTAAAAATTCAGACTCTTGTTTGAAAAGTCTCCTCAAGCCCTGGTGGTATAATTATTCTTCCCCAGAGATGCGACTGTGAGTCTGCCAGCCAACCCCAAGGAAAGAACTTAGAAGCGTCTCTGTGGAAATGTGAATTCGGAGTCACATGCTATTAACGATGGCTCCTGTCATATAAATGGTGGTCCAGTTGAGGGCCTGGAGTCCCTCCCATCTTGGGGCACGGAGGTCAGGAATACACTGAGAGTTTGGTTGGCGGGGGGGTGGGGTGGGGGAAGAACTATTAACAGTTGAGCCAAAAGTGGAGGCCAGGACTTTAAGCCTGTCCCACACCCCCTGAGTTATGTGTGTGACCATCACTGATGCCACCTCACCTGTGACACGACACAGCATCACATCTCGGGGGACTGGGGAAAGGTGGGAACCACAGCATGAAACTTAAGGAGGTGCTGAAAGACTCAGCAATCAGGATGAATCAGATAATTTGATTTTAATGCAGTACTTTTAAAAATCAAAGCTAGTGCAAAAAGTCCTTCATGAATAAAATATCAAAATGCCGCATCAGATTATAGACCAAGAAAACCAAAAGGTGATGGGCTAGCACGTGGAGTAGTGGTTAAAGATGCTGGACTCTCACATGGCTGACACCAGCTGAATCTGGACCTGGCAGCTTGAAACTCACATCGTGCACACGTACCTGCATGCCCAAAATCCCCAAAGGAGACAAAGGAGAAGGGACTGTGCTGTGGCCATCCTCCCTGGGGGTGTGTGTGGGGTGTCCTGACCTGGGGGGACAGTCGAACAGGTTTCCTGAGGGAAGGAGTGAGAGACAGGACAAACGACGCAGTGTCACAGCACGGAGACGACACAGTGTTACAACTCTTCAGGGTCATCCAGAGACGACGCGGTGTCACAACTCAGGGTCATCTGGAGACGATGCGGTGTCATAACTCTTCAGGGTCTTCAGGGTCATCTGTTGATTGTGGGCCAGGGATCGTGGTTATATACATGTTGGTGGGCCATGATTGGTTGAATGAAGGATAGTAAAAAGGTGGGGTATGATTGATTTCTTTGTGGACCAATCATGAGGTGCTGGATATGCAAATCTGAGGGATTCTAAGCTCACCGATTTGCTATGAGAAGTGGCCAATCAGAGTATGGTTTAGCCAATTGTGGCCTTTGTAATTGTTTGCTCTCTGAGTCTAAGATGGCAATAGTAAGAGACTCATGAAAATGGCCTCAGCAGACTCGCTGGTGTGCAGTCCCCCACAGTGGGGAATTCCTCACTTTCTGTTTCTCTGTCTCTCTATCTCTCTGGTGAGTGCACACACCCTAAAGCAAAAAAAATCTCTCTCTCTTAAAAAGAAAAAAGAGTCATCGTGCTTCTATTTTTAGTCAACATTTTGATATATTTTTTGCTGAGCTACACCTTATTCCTTTTCTTTCAGCCCCTAGCCTGATTGGTCTGTGTTTTCTTTTTTCTTTTTCTTTTTGGAGAGGTTTTTCTATAGGGTGTGTGCACTCGCCAGACAGACAAGACAGAGAGACAGAAAGCAAGAAATCACCCCCAGGGGGGATGGCCATGCTGCAATCCCTTTTCCTCCATCCTCCTCTCGGGATCCTGGGCATGCATGCACACACGCCTGGCATGAGTTTTAAGCCGCCGGGTCCGGGACCCGAACCACGGTTGACTACGTGAGTCCAGCGACATAACCATTATGCTAACTGCTGGTCCCATGTGTTTTCTTTTATCAGTTCATGATAGGGAGCATATTTGAAAGAGAAAGACAAGCATCCTTGATAGGATCTCATCCTATCATTGTCCTCTTTTCCCAGCCCCCCTAGTGTATCATGCCCTGGGCCAGGCACACACATGCCCAGTGTGTTTTCAGGCTGCTCAGGAGACTCAAACCCACAGATGGCCATGTGGCTTCCCCCACTGCAGTTCAGTTTGCTATGCCACCAGACTGGGCCCAGGTGGGTCTTCAAGCAAGAATATGAGTCCCTTGATATTCTAACTGGTGAAAAATAAATAAATAAATAACAAAAACTAATTTACAGTGTTTCTAAACTGGGAGATCACAGTTTCTCTGGGTGAGGCATCAGATGTTTGCCCAAGTTCTCTGGACAACACCCTAAACTTTCAGATTCCACTAGCACTTTGCACCTGCCTGAATCTCCTGAAAACAGCTTACATGTTCTAATACCCCACTTGACCCATCTTGCTGCCTCCTGCCCTGCAGTCCCTTGCTAGGGGCTAGTTGCTTCCATGTAAATTTGTTCCATAGATCTCCAAAGACTCCTGTGAGGCCAGCTGGCCTGGAGATTTGTGTCCAGCTTACAGATGTTGACATAGAAGCCAAAAGAAACAAGGTGACTTGCCTGACATTTTACGGCAAGTAAAGCCAAGACTAGGACAAAAGTAGTGTCACCTCTACGACCCATTGACTACTACAGAGGAGGAAGAAGACAGAGTTAGAGTTTGACTAGGCTGGGTCCTTCTCTCCCGGGGTAGAATGGAAGGAAGCACCTGACTTTGGAGATAGACAGGATTCAAATCCAACACTAGCAGAATGACCCTGGCCAAAGACCTGGGTTCCTTGGCCTCTGTTTTATCTGTAATACCTTCCAATGTTTGCCATGTGGGACTGCATGAAACAGTGTAAGTAACTGACTCATGGTAGGAGAGTCTTGCTTGCCACAGATGCTCACAGAAAGGGGACAAGACAGAAACAGTGTTACAACTTCCTGAAAGCCACTGTAGGAGAAAAGGCCAAAACATTCCTCTGGAGAATCAGCCCTTAAAAAAGAAATATCTGGGACTCCTGAAACACTCAGACAAGAAGCCATCTTAAATCCCTTCCTGACCCCTCGAGAATTGGAAAATATTTAGGAGTTTTTAAATTGTTGTAGCAGAATAGTTATTTGCATAAGTTCAATAATATCTCTTGCCTTGGGACCAGCAGTTAGCGTAATGGCTATGTCGCTGTACTCCCATGTAGTCGACCACAGTTAAGTCCCAGACCCAATGGCTTAAACTCATGCTGGGCGCGTTTGCGTGCATGCCCAAGATTACAAGAGGAGAATAGAGGAGAAGGGATTGCGGCGTTGCCATCAACAAAGAAAAGCCCAGGCCCAGATGGCTTCACTTGTGAATTCTACAAAACTTTCAAGGAAGAATTAACCCCTATCTTACTAAAATTATTTCTAAAGATTCAAAAGGAAGGAAACCTTCCAAATTCATTTTATGAAGCCTCCATCATCCTCATCCCCAAAACAGATAAGGATATGACAAAAAAGGAAAACTACAGACCAATATCATTGATGAATATAGATGCGAAAATTCTCAACAAGATACTCGCAAATCGTATCCAACAACATATAACAAAGATCATTCATCACGACCAGGTAGGCTTTATACCAGGGATGCAAGGGTGGTTCAATATACGCAAGACCATAAATGTAATACACCACATTAACAGAAAGAAAGATAAAAACCATATGATCATCTCAATTGATGCGGAGAAAGCGTTTGATAAAATACAACATCCTTTTATGATTAAGACTCTCAGTAAGATTGGTATAGAAGGGTCATTTCTGAACACAATAAAAGCAATCTATGAAAAACCTACAGCTAATATTATACTGAATGGGGAAAAGCTGAAAGCTTTTCCTCTGAAAACAGGTACTAGGCAAGGCTGCCCACTTTCTCCACTGCTCTTTAATATAGTACTGGAAGTCTTAGCTATTGCAATCAGAGAAGAGAACAGTATTAAAGGCATTCGAATAGGCAAAGAAGAGTTGAAAATATCTTTATTTGCAGATGACATGATGGTATACTTAGAAGACCCAAAGGTATCCATGAAAAAACTGCTTGAAGTAATAAGTGAATACAGTAAGGTGGCAGGATACAAAATCAATATCCAAAAATCTATAGCATTTCTATTTATGAACAACAAGTTGAATGAAGCAGAGCTGAAGAAAGGAATCCCTTTCACCGTAGCCACAAGATGTATAAGATATCTAGGGATAAACCTAACTAAGAAAGTCAAAGACCTTTATAAAGAAAACTACGAGAATCTTAAAAAAGACATTGAAAGTGACATAAAAAAGTGGAAGGACATCCCATGCTCCTGGATTGGTAGAATTAACATAATCAAAATGGCAATTCTACCCAAATTAATCTACATGTTTAATGCAATTCCAATCAAAATACCAGAGATATTCTTCAGAGATCTAGAAAAGACAATTATAGAATTTGTCTGGAACCATAAAAGACCTCGTATTGCAAAAGCAATCCTGCGTAAGAAGAATGGAGTAGGAGGCATATCACTCCCTGATCCCAAGATATACTATAAAGCTGTGGTCATCAAAACAGCATGGTATTGGCATAAAAACAGACATGTGGACCAATGGAAGAGAATAGAGACCCCAGAAATAACTCCCAAAGCTTATAGCCAACTGATCTTTGACAAAGGATATCAGTCAATCCATTGGGAAAAGGAAAACCTCTTTAGTAAATGGTGCTGGAAAAACTGGGTATCCACCTGCAGAAAGATGAAACTGAACCCCCATCTTTCACCATTAACAACAGTCAACTCAAAATGGATCAAAGATCTGAACCTAAGACCTCAGACAATAAAACTACTTGTGGAAAATGCTGGGGAAACTCTGGGAGACATTGGAGTAGGCAAAGACTTCTTAAATAAGACTCCCAAAGCACAGGCAATAATCCCTAAAATAGACAAGTGGGACTATATTAGACTAAGAAGTTTCTGCACAGCAAA